TTGTTCAGCCTGGAGAAGAGAAGGCTGCGGGGAGACCTTATTGCAGCCTTTCAATACTTAAAGGGGGCCTAGAAGAAAGATGCGTACAGACTTTTTAGCAAGCCCAATAGTGATAGGACAAGGGGTAATGGCTTTAAACTAAAAGAGGGTAGATTCAGACTAGATATAAGGAAGAAATTTTTTACAATGAGGGTGGTGAAACACTGAAACAGGTTGCCCAGAGAGGTGGTAGATGCCCCATCCTTGGAAACATTCAAGGTCAGGTTGGACGGGGCTCTGAGCAACCTGATCTAGTTGTAGATGTCCTTGCCCATTGCAGGGGTGTGGACTAGATGACCTTTAAAGGTCCCTTCCATCCCAAAGCATTCTATGATTCTATGATTCATTAACTTCTGAAGACACTGAGGAAGTATCCCAGAGTTCCTGAGTTCACAAGCTGAAAACCACTAATTCATGCATGTCTAGTCACCCAAGACTCAAATTATATTATTATTAAAACCATGAAATAGCACTATCAACCTTATAATTTTCTAAAGCATTAAGACAGTTTTGCCATGTCTACCTGAAAGTCAATCGAACTTTAAAATAAACTTGAGCAATTTCAGTTGCAATCACCTCAAATGGAAGATAGTGTTGGTGGACAAGCCATAGGTTAACAGAACACCATAGTATCAAGGAACAGCTTGTTAAAGACAACAAAAAAAGTTTTTATAAATATATCAGTGACAAAAGGAGGGCCAGGGAGAATCTCCCTCCTTTGTTGGATGCAGAAGGTAACCTGGCCACGAAGGATGAGAAGGCAGACATACTTCATGCCTTCTTTGCCTCAGTCTTTAATAGTCAAGCTAGTCATCCTCGGGTTTTTCAGGCCCCTGAGCTGGCAGACGGAGATAGGACGCAGAGTGAAGTCCCAGTTGTCGAAGAGGTGACAGTCACTGACCTGCTCCTCCACCTGGATGCGCACAAGTCCATGGGGCCAGATGGGATCCACCCGAGGATACTGAGGGAGCTGGCAGAGGAGCTGGCCAAGCCACT